CCGAATGGTGTCCCAGAATGGATCACCTTCTATTTTACCTATTAGAAATGTTATGTTTAATAAGATTTCTTGAACCAAGCCTGTGAAAAAGTCACCATTTTCATGAATATTGTACAGCAATTCTTTTAAGAGTTTCAGAGATATTATTAAGGTTATTGTTCAATGATACCAAATAGTTTGAATAATACAAAAAAATAAAAATAAAAATAAAAATCACTGCCATTGAGTCGATTCTGACTCATAGTGACCCCCTCTGGGTTTCTGAGGTGGTATAGAAGGGGCAAAATATCATGTACATCCTAAAATAGGAATATTTAATTAATTAGATCCTCATTGTAGTCAATAGACTACAATTTTGTTTAATATCCTTAAAGTTGTATTTCTATTGCTCTTGCTCACTCACCTTGCAAATGAAATACAATCTAAAATAACTAGCTATAGCTACGTGATGCACTTGACTGCTAACAGAAAGTTTGGAAGTTCAAGCTCACCCAGAGGCACCTCAAAAGAAAGACCTTGTGATCTACTTCCAAAAGGTCAGCTACTGAAAGTCCTATGGAGCACAGTTCTCCACTGACACACACGAGGTCCTCATGAGTCAGAAGTGAGTCAATAGCGACTGGGAGTGGTGGTGGAACATCACACTTAATGGGGAAGTGTAATGCTTTTTCGCCTGAATCAGGAGCAAGACAAGGATGTCTGCTCTTGTCATTTCTATTCAATATTTTACCAGAGGTTCTAGCCAAGGCAATTTGTCATAAAAATAAATAAAAGGCATCCAGATTGGAAAGAAAGAAAGAAAACTGCACTTGTAGATGACATGGTCTTATGTAGAGAAAATCCTAAAGAATCCACTAGAAGCTATTAGATCTAATAAATGAGTTCAGTCAAATTTTAAGATACAATATCAATATACAAAAATCAATTACATTCTTTATACTTAAAATAAACAATTTAAAAAATAGATAAAGGAAACAATTTCATTTATAATAGCAACAAAAAGAAAACATTAAGAATAAATTTAACAAAAAGTACAAAATTTATACTCTGAAAACTACAAAACGTTGAAATAAAGAAGATCTAAATAAATGGAGGAGGAGAAACACATGCTATGTTCATGGATCAGAAAACCTAATATTGTTTAAATGAGCTTTTTTCTCTCCTTTCCTGCCTTGCGCTTCTGGGGCGTGGCCTGGGTTCCCCTCACCTGAATCCCTGCAGCTGACTTGCTCTATTCCAGTCCCCCTGGCCTTTTTCTCTCCTTTCCTGGAGCTTTCCCCACCTTGCTGCTTCTGGGGTGTGGCCTGGAAGGTTCCCTCCCCTTACCTGGATCCCACGGCTGACTCCTCCATTTAAATGACAATACTACCCAAATTGATCTACAGATTCAACACGATCCTTATCAGAACCCTCTCTGACTTCTTTGTAGAAATTGACAAGCTGATTCTAAAATTCATATGGCATTGCAAGGGACCAAAATGATCTGGAGAAAGAACAAAGTAGGAATACTCATACTTCAGATTTCAAAACTTAGTAAAAACTTAAGTAATGAAGACATGGTACTGGCAATACATACAAATATGTAGATCAGCGGAATAGAGTTGAGAGTCCAGATATAAAACCATGTGTCTATGGCCAATTGATTTGACAAGGGTGCTAAGACAATTTAATGGGGAAAGAAGAGCCATTTAAATAAATGGTTCTGGGACAACTGGGTAGCTACATGTAAAAGAATGAAGTTGGATACTTACTTCACCCTATAAACAAACAAAAAGTAATTAAAAATGGATCAAAGACTTGAATGTAAGAGCTGAAAACTATAAAATGTTTAGAAGAAAACACAGGGATAAATCTCCATGACCTCAAATTTTGCAAAACATTCTTAGTCATAACATACACACACACACACACACACAAAACAAACCACAAGCAACAAAAGATAATTTGGATTACATCAAAATTAAAAACTTTTGTGCTTTAAAATTTCTCCCATAGAATGGGAGAAAACATTGCATATCACATATCTGATAAGGGAGTTATGTTTAGAATACATAAAGAACTTCTATAGCTCAATAATAAAAAGACAACCTAACATTTCTCTAAGGAAGATATACAAATACCCATTAAGCATAGGAAACGAGGCTTAAATTAACATCATTACTCATCAAAACCGAAGAAGCCAAACTCACTGCCATCGAGTTGGATCTGACTCATAGCG